AAGAATTCTCAGTTTGCTTCTCAACTTGGTTGGAGGTAGATTGATTCCAGAGAGACGACTTCTAACTGATTTTACAAACCATTTTAACTGTTCACCAAGTCAAGAGGATTTTTGATATTGATGGGACCTTGGATTTCTTGTTACAAACGGTTGAAAAGTTGTTAGGATAGAGCATAAGAGGCAAAGACGTTTTAGTAGAGAGCTCTGAGGATGAGAGATCAAAATACTTTGGTTTGGACATTGAACCGTGAAGCCCAAAAGGACATGGAAGATTCCTCTAAGGATGAGAAAGTTACCGTCAAAACATGGAGAAAGAAGGAGACCATCTCTGGTTCATCACGTCTGATCATGAAGAGTTTAATTTTGTCTGTGCTGTAAACTAAGAGCTGTGACTTAGTTTGTGAGTGATGGTAACCTTCATCAGGTGAAAACTTCACATCTTGTCTAGTATTGCTTTGCTCACAGAAAATCTTTTTTTTGACAATTTGAAACATTTAACACTTTTTGTAGTATTGTAGATGCTTGCTGTAATTTCTGCCATATTTGTGATTAGTGCAAACTTGACTCATAACTTTAAATGTTTAACCAATTGGAATGTTTTATATGTTTTTTTTTTGTTTTTTTTTTTAATAATGCAATGCCATTTTTTGTTTCTTCTGTAGCAGGGGTGTCCAAAGTGGGTCTTCGAGGGCCGGCATCCTGCATGTTTTAGTTCTCTCCCTGGTGGTAGTAACAATCTCCTCAGCAAGTCAACGTTCTGCTTAGGCCTTCTGATGAGCCATCATTTGATGCAGGTGTTAAACCAGGGAGAGAACTAAAACATGCAGGATGCCGGCCCTCAAGGACCCACTTTGGACACCCCTGTTCTATAGTATGTCCAATTTTATAAGTGTTTGAAATATGTGGCAGGGGAATAAGAGTTGTGTACTCCCCCAATTTTGAAGACATTACAATTGATCTATTGACCTGCTACTGTTGTGGTTTTAATGGATAATTGAGTGCCTGTGTATATATCTGCCTTGTTTTCTTGGGTTGTCACAGCTCCTTACTTGCTGATGCAAGATTAGTTGAGTTTATTAGTCTGTGTATCTACTTCATCCCTGCACATCTGGGAAAGCTTACCAGAATCCTGTCTGGTCACCTGGATTTCCAGCTACCTCACAGACAGACCACTGGAGTCCTGCAGGAGACGGTGTGGTCACCCATCCTCTTCAACCTGCCACAACCTGTACACCTGAGGTGTACGACTTGTGGCGACTTGTGTTACAACTCTGAAACGTGTCATATCCATAAGAGGACTGATGACACTGCCATTATGGGATATATCAAAGACAACAGAGGAGTACAGGAGCCTGGTGAGGAATTTTGTCGTCTGTTGTCATAGAAACGGCCTGCAGGTAAACACTTCCAAGACAAAGGAATTGGTTATTGACTTCAGGAGGGACAGAGGCAGTCCAAGATCAGTTCTGGTAGGGAGGTGGAGGTACAGACCTATCAGGACAGTCTGTCTATCTCTGCACTTTCATTCTTCTCAAGCTCCATTTCTGCTATTTCCATGGCAACTTGGAGTGACCCTGCAAAAAAATGAAGAAAGATGCATGGCCATTGGTACATATTAAGTTTTCCTTAATATGTTTCCTCCATGGAAGCTGATAAATGAGTTTCCTCTCCAGATACCCAAAGAAAGTGGAGTAGGTTACCTCTCTTTTTCTCTCGTCTGGCCACAGATCTGCTCACTGGAATCTCAAGGGAGGATAGAATGTATGTAGGCTTTTTAATTATACTCTCAACCACAGTGTTAGCAAAATCATGACAAATAGTAAATGGCCTGTACTAGTATAGTGCTGTATCAAGTCCATAGGACCCCAAAGAGTTTCACACTACATTCACTCATTCACACATTCACAGAGCAAGCTACTGGATAACAACTGCCCTGGGCAGTTTGGTTCACGTATTGTCAAATAGTAATGAGTGTATTTAACTATTTGGTTTAAACTTCATTACTCTAAGACTTTGCAAAGACTGTCCTGTCTGCAGCGTTTGTTTTAAATACAGACCACAGCTAGAAAATAATCCAGAATAAATGACTGTGTAAGAGAAAACTTTATTGAAGTTTCATTTGGCTCAGTAGAATGGAAAAGCATGAATGACAAAGATGTAAATATGCCATCGAAGGCACAGCAACAAGACACCAGGAGCAGCAGCACCCTGTTTAGTTCTGACAATACAAAAAAATCATGTGCTTACAATTTATTTTAAGCATTATTGCAGTAATTATTACACAGTTCAAGATAAGTAGTTTATGTGCATCCATGTATGTGCTTTAAAAGGTCCTTTTCCACCACCTGTGCTTTTAGCAGAATTAGATATAGAATGCACCCTCAAAAATGGTCAATGATAAAAAAAGTTCCATTTGATGTTCTATAATTGTTTATTCTTGGAATGATTTAAATTTCTAACGGTATCTAAGCACGATCAGGATTTCACATGAAAGAAAATTTTATATTGTCTTAAGCTGCACACCGACACACTTTCTAAGTGTGTAGAGCTCTTTGCATCTGAGAACAGAGCACATGGGCAAATCCTGGATTCACCATCCATATTCTCTTCCAACGTTTCCATGGTTTCATGTTTTGAAGCATTTGATGATGGAGAAAGCCTTATTTACAGCCAACAAATGCAAATCATTAACACTGTGTCATCCGGTTGCCTTGTATGAATGCGCTTCAACAGACAACAAGAAATGAGAGCAGAGAACCTTACCAGGAAGTCTTTATAGCAGCAGAAAGATTAATATGCAGGGGTTAGAGTTGTAGCATTCAACATGTCACAAGAAGTCATCACAGATACGGAAAGTCAGACAGCTTGTGTAAGTCGTATTGGAAGTGAAAGACATTATGAGTGGCGACACATTCAGAACAACAAGTCACTGGAAATCTCCAGTAGAAATACAGAAAGGCCAGTCAGTTATTAGAAAACAAAATAGCTGCAGCGTCCTGCTGCAGTGACATTCAGCTTTCACAACACAGCCATCCAAACACATTTACAACTGCACACACACAAGAGTATGAAAAAAGAATCTGCAGACACTTAGTTTCAATAGTTTGAAGCATTGTGCAGATAAAGAACAAAGAAAAGCCATTTCTCAGTATTCCCAGAGGGTGGCGCTGTCCACAGAGTCTGCGCTGGCCTTCAGCCCTCCAGCATGGTCGCCTTTAAGGTACTTCCCGCCCAGAGCCCGAATTCCCATCTTGTTGAGATCACAGAACTCAAGCAGGAACTGGACAGGAGTGGAGCTGCTGCACACCACTGCTGAGTCGTCTCCAACGCACCAGTACTTTCCCTGGGAGTCTGGACAGACAACAGGACTAATGAAGCCCAGAGCTCACACAGGTGGTGTATACATCCGGACAACATGGTGTGCTTTGCATTAAATCTAGATCAGGGGTGTCCAAAGTCGGTCCTCGAGGGCCGGCATCCTGCATGTTTTAGTTCTCTCCCTGGTGGTAGTAACAACCTCCTCTTCAAGTCAATGTTCTGCTTAGGCCTTCTGATGAGCCATCATTTGATGCAGGTGTGTAAAACCAGGGAGAGAACTAAAACATGCAGGATGCCGGCCCTCAAGGACCCACTTTGGACACCCCTGTTCTAGATGATGATGCATTAATCTTGATCATTGATATTTGATTATCATCAACTTGTCCAGGGACTGCAGGTGAAAGTTAGCATTTTTGCTAGAACATGTCTCCTTTTGAAAAATTAATGAAATGTAAATTGTTTCTGTGCAAATAAATAAACATTAAACAATCATCCATCCATCTCCAGCTAACGTTCCGGGTGAGAGGCGGGGTCACCCTGGACAGGTCGCCAGTCTGTCGCAGCATTAAACAATCAATCAACTTTATTTATACCATTAGGTAGATTAAATCCACAAAACTTTAGAGAACAGTGGGAATACTAAAGTCTAAGGCATTTACAGCAAAACTGTCTAAAACATTGTTACAATCTCAAATTTCTTCCCATAATGAAGAAAAGCTAGATGCAAGTTGCAAGTTTTTCTGGGCGTTGGGACATATTATGTTTAGCTGAATGCCTGTTTTTTTTTTGTCCTCCATAGAAACTGATAGCTGAGTTTCATCTGCTGACGCCTAAAGAAAGTGGAGCAGGTTATCTGTCTCTTTCCTTCGCCTGCCCACAGATCTGCTCACTGGAATCTCGAGGGAGGATAGAATGTAGGCTTCTAACTTTCCCCTGGGAGTCTGGTCAAAAAACACTCATCTTTTTAATAGCAAAAAACCTCAGAAAAATAAAATTCACATCACAGCTAATTTCAATCGTGTTTGTAAATACAAGCTAACAACTTGTTATAGTCTATTTTATTTACTTGGACGTAGAATGAATATGGAGGATTTCGTGTGTAGAATTGTGAATATGACTATCGAAGGTCACCAGATAATGAAATTACAAACTTCAGATTAAGAGAAAAATTACAACGCTTTAAAAGCAGAAAACCTGAAGACCATGAAAGTCTATTTTATTATTACCATTTACTTTTGTTTTTTTACAGGGGCCTTCTTCTATTGGTTAATTGGTGAGAGGCGGGGAAATCATCCACCTTGAAGGTGTGATATCACAACTGCCCTTTCTATTGTTCTTAAAAGAATTAAAACTTACTTTTCTAATTGTCACACAGAAAAGGGTTCAGCAGTTGAGATTCATGAAAGTGAAAATGACGGACATCTCATCATCACCCACTAAAAACAGTTGAGACAGAAGACACACAGAGATGATAGGTAGCCCAAGAGGACTGAGGTGATTACATGTGTATTTTGTGAGTATTAAGATTTACTGATAAGAAAATATTTTGTTTTGCCATATATTTAGTCATCTTCTGTGAATTGATATGTCAACACTCTTATTTTGTATCTCTGAATTAGATTTCAATTAGCGTTTTCCTTGCACATTACCAACACTTCTAGCCACCGTGTCTTAAGGTGCTTTTCCACAGGCAGTTCTCTCTCTGACCAGTTACTGTTCGGTTCTATCCCAGTTGTGAGCATCTCTGTGAATATGTGAACGTGGGCATGCAGGTTATCCATCAGAGAATCGTCCACAGCTACTGCACTCTCATGGCCCGCCCACGTTCCAGGATAAAGTAACATTAGCCTACACCAGGATAGTCAAAGCATGAAAACAAAGCATGCTTTACCATCTAAGAACTTGTTTCAAAAAATGGAACATATTTCTGGCCAGGGGAAGAAAAGCATGGTATTAAACTCTTTGCCTTTGGTCTAGTCTTCTTCAAACTTTCTCCCCAAAATGTGTTCATTCACAGCTACAGTCCTCAGTCTGCTGTTTGTAACGCTGCATGTTGTTGTATTCTTTTGTCTTTTTCAGACACTGTCTTCATTACATTAGCTAGGCCATCATAAAGCTCACACACACAGAGCTCTCTGGCAGAATGCGGTGAAATGTCCCAGGCCATCTTTGGTCAAGCTTCTCTAGAAAGTGACGGCTATATAATATTTGTTAAATATGCTTGAATGTTGCCTACTTCCACTTACCTTTGAGGGAATAAGCACCGTTATGAAACTCCAATTGGAAAACATCGTAGGAGGCCCGGTTGGAGTCGAGGGTTGGAAGTCCAGCTTTGCGAGCTCCAATGAAACCATGTTCTCCACGCAGGACAATGATTGGACGGTTGATCAGCTTCATCAGGAACTGCTCAGCCTCCCCTGAAATGACATAGACTGGTACCTTTAATCATAACTGTTTATTGTGTTTAAATTAACTGCAGAAAGTTTGTTGTTCACTTTAAAAAAAATGTAAATGGGGGGAAAAAAGTGAATAATGTTTCCTTCTCATGTGAAAGTTAATCATAAAGTTCCACAGGATTCTGTGCTCGTACCAATACAGTTTAAATGGAAATCACTTTAGATTTCTATTTAAACCGTCAGGTTTAAATGGAACAATTAGGAGGCTTAACACTATGTTAACTATAATGATAAAACTGACCCAAGAAGTAAAGTCACTAAAGTCACTAAAGTCAGACTCCTCTTCTTCACCACAGAGGAGTCTAGAGACATGTTCACGTTTGAAATTGTATGAAGGGTCTCAAGGAAATATTTGCTTTTCCAACCTACAGATGGAACTTAAATAAGTACGGGTTGACCCATAAACAGATGCTAGTTCCTGTCTCTGTGATAAATGGCAGCCAGCAGGTTGTAGTTTATTTATATGACTTAGAGTCAGAAATTCCTACTTCTGTGTACAAAGGAAAGCCGATATTAAAGTATATTTACGATCTGCAACTTTGTCTTGACTTTACTTTCATGTATTTGAAAAATATCAGCAACAATCCTGACCTGTACTGTCAACTGCAGCAGCCAGTTGCCCGTTCTTCTTGGCAGTCACATACTTCCCGTTGGCTGCACGGATGCACACCCGACCCTCACGCCACTCCAGTTCAAAGTAACTGTTAGCAGATCTGAAAACAAATACAAAGACAGACCTTATTATCTACATTTTTCTAAGGATGCAAACAGCACTTCTCAGTAGGAGGGTGATTACTTGGAGGAAGCCGTGCACTGCAGTCCTCCAGTTGCTGTCAGGGTCCAGTATTTCCCAGCAGCAGTTCTAAAGGCACACTTCCTGTCTTCACGGTTCATCTCCAGTTGGAACACTTCTTGGTCTCCTTCCTCATTCTGATTGGCTGACAGGTCCATGCCTGAAAAATAAAGTAATCTGTGATCAGCTTTCATTCAGCTCTGGGGGATTAAAGCTTCCCTAAGCTGCACCGTGTTTCATCAAATTTCAGACAGCAAAAGGAGGAGGTCAGTAGTAACTAGTTACATTTACTTGAGCAACCTTTTAGGGGAAAAGAAAAATCAACTTTTAAGAGCAGTTTTCCTACCTCATACTTTTACTCGAGTAATATTTTTACTCTTCTGTGAGTAAAATTAATGGACACTCTGTGTGAGCAACTTCACTGGATGGAGAACAAGCATATTTTAACCAAAAATGCAAAAAAAAAAAAAATCATTGTAGTCTTCAGAATACCAGAATTTGGGCAGAAATGAATAGTTTTCTCTGTCTGATGACATCACTGTGAAATGTTAAATCGGGTGTTATGATAAGCCTTTTAATAAAATATAGTGAATTTAAATTAAAATTTAATGAAAAGGTATTAAAAAAGCAAAATACTTATCTGAGGGTATAAACACATGTGCAACCAAGTAATACCTTTTTTTTTCTTTTTCATTTCTCAACAGATTTGTTTATTTCCAGTAGATATTTTGGGAAGATTTCCAAACATATTCAATAAATTAAAATACTCATTCCAATGAGACTCAGTTGTCAAATTAAAAATAAATTTTTAAATAACCATTAATGATGTATTAAATATTAAGCCCATATGTTAAAATGTATTGTGTAGGTCTGATATATTTTAAATCCTACATGTCTTTTATTGGCTGTATTCTGATAATTATTACAGAAATAAAGACTTGAAACATCAGATATGTGTAGCTAGTGTATTTCATCCAGTGACTTGAGATGCTGAAATAAATTAACTTTAATAATAATATTCTAATCCATGGAAAGTGTCTGAGTCCAAGTTGGAATAAAAAAAATGTGTAATTTTCCAATTATGAATAAGTCTAGAATCTGAAAAGGGGTATATGCACATTTTTGACTTCCCCTTGTTTTGTCTTCAAGTTTTATTGGTCTAAGTTCAAAGTATGGTGGGGATTTTCTGTTTTCATACATTTACATGACAGAAGAAAAAACTAGGAGGGAGTGTAGATTAGCTGAAATTTACTTTTGGTCTCTGTATTTTATATTTCACTTTAATAATAGCCCTAATTTACTCATTCACTGTCAATTTTAATTGAGGATTTTCAAAATAAAAAGAGAAAAGACAACAGCAGCCCATGAAGACATTCAATTTAAACCCACCATTTGTTTGATGCCCATGTGTCTGTTTGGGGTAAATGCAGTATACAGGTGCAACCTTGGCCTCTACACTGCAGTCTAAATCCCTGCGTTAGCAGCAGATCCCATCTGGGGCCGAGTGGGAACAAGAAAAAGAGGTTGCATGAGATGTAAGATAGTCTGAGTCATCCAGTTCTTAGCCTCTTTTCTCTACATCTCCTTCAACTCATCCTTTCTTTGTCTCTAAAAATATCTTTTCTAATTTTGAGTCTGCTCTTAGTGCAGCGGTGTCCAAAGTCGGTCCTCGACGGCGTCCTGCATGTTTTAGTTCTCTCCCTGGTTTAGCACACCTGCATAAAATGATGCCTCATTAGAAGGACTAAGCAGAACATTGAATTGCTGAGGAGGTTGTTACAACCACTAGGGAGAGAACTAAAACATGCAGGCTGCCGGTCCTCGAGGACCGACTTTGGACACCCCTTAGTGTATCTCAGATAACAGATGACACAGGCTGAGAGAACCTCAGCTGACCTGACCCCAGCAACCACAATGCAGAGATAGAATTACTGCAGAAAAATGTTAAGCTGTGCAAAGATGGGCCAAATGTACTGAGTAAGTAATGAAAAACACATGGTGGAGAGAAAATGAATTCGTTTTTTTTTTTTTTTTTTTTAACTTTGTTGTACACAACCTCCACTGCTCCGTGAGTCCAGCTATGCAGGGACTTCATGGCAGAGGGGTCTCTGGAATGTTTTGCATGGGGGGCCCGATGGGGGCCATGAATAACTGTGGTAGCACACCAAAGGAAAAAAAAAGCCATAGCAGATTTCAGGAATTTATTAGACTTACATCAGCTCAACTAGATTTTTGGCAACTTTCTAAAATAAAAGTTGCCAAACTTTTATTTTTTGCCAAATATTTATTTTTTTATTTTTTGCCTAAATAATCTTTTGGCATAAAATGACTTGGGCCACTATTTTAGGAAGGTGATGATTTGCCCAGAGAAATGTGGGACACTTTATGGTCAAGTTGAACAAACTAAAATGGAGCTTTTTGGCCATCAGATATGTTGCAATGCTTGGCAGACACCACAAACACACAGGAATGGAAAGGCTTGTAAAGGTAGAAGGTGAAATGAAAGCTGCAAGATACAGGGAAATCCTGGAGGACAATTAGTTTCTGTCTGCAGGAGAAGTACAGCTTCAGAGAACATTTATTTTCCAGCAAGAAAAGATAAAGCTAAAGATCCACAGAAATTGTGCGAAGAACCAAAAGGTGAATGTTCTGGAGTAGCTGAGTCAAAGCCCAGACCTCAATCTGATACAGAATTTATGGATTTGAAAAAGGCTGTTCACAGCAGATCCCCATGCAACCGGACAGAGTTTGAACAGTTTTTCAAGGAGCGACGGAGCAAAATTGCAGAGTGTAAATGTACAATCTTTCAACCTTTCAGACCCCTAAGTCTTCTGGTTCTGGTCTGCTCTGCATCCCCAGAACCAGAACTAAACGAGGAGAAGCAGCATTCAGCTTCTATGCACCACAAATGTGGAACAAACTTCCAGAAAACTGTGAAACAGCTGAAACACTGACTTCCTAAAAACCCACCTGTTTAGAGTCGTATTTGAAACGTAATCAATTATGAATTTAACAATGGCATTTGACTTAATGTAATGTTTTGATTGTTGATTCTATGTTGCATGGCTTTGTGTTTCTGTGCTTGTTATGATGTAAAGCACTTTGAATGTCTTGCTGCTGAAATACAGATCAAATTTGATTGACTGATTGAACCCTGATGGAGATCTATCCACAGACTATTTGCTGCTATTGCAGCCATAGGTGAATCTATCAAATACTGACTCAAAGGGGTGATTATTTCTGCTACTCATATTTTATTTAAAATATTTGTAGTTAATTGCCATTATCTAATCAATACCAGTTTTCATTCTGACACTAAAAAATTTCCTGTAAATTTGTACCTAAAAAAGAAGCAATTTTTATGATCAGGGATTGAATTGTAAAAGCAACAAAAAGGATATAACATCCAAGGTGTGAATACTTTTTATAAGCACCATGTAAGTGGACAGGCTGTATCTAAATAATCTAATTATCAGATCATTAGCAGAACTCTAGAGTACTTGATTACTACGGAGGTAACATTCATCCATCTGATTCAGGGGTGAAGGTCCCCCAACCCCCATAAACTGGAGCTGAACACCTCTGCTCTGTGGAGCTCTAGTTAGCTGGATTTCTGTGGAGAAAACCAGAATTCAACTTTTTGAAATCAGTGACGTCATCGTGATGTCATCACCTTGTCTACACTTTAAACCACTGAGACTACAGTATATTGTCTCCTGAAAGCAATCTTTGTGGACATTTGTTTTTGTGTTTCAGTGGTTGAATCACACAGCTGCATTTAGTCCTGGCATGGTTACAATAAAAAAACTAATAGGAAGAATGCCATATATTGGATAGAGATAACTTAAAATAAGAGTAATTTAGGAAAAACTAGTTTCAAAACAGACAAGGTCTAAAAATAATGCACGGAAATATTGACTTGGGACTGGAATCGGCCAGTTTTCATTTGTCAAGCTGACAAATGACTGATTCCAAGAAAGCTGAACATA